GGGGTGAGTTGCCAGCAGAACATTCTGTAAACACATAATTTAATAAATGTGCATTATTAACTTTAACTGATCTTTGTGCCAAAATGATGTATTACTTGATGACTTTTATCCGGGCATAAACTTCCAAGCATGGGGTTCATATTGCATTATATCCCTTTTGCATGAAATATCATTCATATACCGGCTGTAGCAAGGTTATACGGGCGATATTGATCCCTAATTAGCACAATTATTGCATATGCAAATGGCCAAATCAAGTTTTTGATTGGTCTAATCAGAATCAGATACCGTGAAAACCTTGAAGTAGACGCCCCCACATTTGCTTTGTCATCTTTTATAAATAAGCGTGTTGCGGACCAAAAATGGAATTTTGGTAATGGCGCCCTAATTTAATATTATGGATATGGAAATGAGCAAACCATTTTAGGCTTTGCCTAATCTGAATCAGAGACCTGGCCTGAAAACTTAGGGGTAGACACCAAAAATCATACGTTTATCTTTTGAAATAAGCGAGTTATGGCCAAAATAATGAAATCTCAGTAATGGCCGCGCTTGATTTGGCATATTACCGCAAAAATGCCCAAAGGTACCAGACCGGCATCATACCGAATTCTTAATCAGCACCCCTCAACAGGTATAAAACTCCGCCAAAACAAATTTGTGGGACGCTAAAACCACGTTAGGTGTTCTACCAGCTGGACTATACAGTATTCTGTCACGATAAACCTTGGCAGTGGATTCGCCGCAGGGCACAGGCGCTGGCTGTGGAATCAGTCTCCCCCACCTGCACGCTCGCACTCAGCGCATATTTATCTATCAATCTATCTATTTTCTTATCTATCTATCTATCTATCTATTCATCAATGTGAACCTGTGACGCCTTGACCTTGGGTGAAAGGCACTCAAAAATGAATAGGGTTGAACGTTCCACCGCCCCCTAAGGACCCAAGTTTGAAGTTTCTACCTCTAACGGTTGCAAAAATATCGAGCAGACAGACCAGACACACCGCACACGCACACACAACACACTCAACAACACACAGGCACAGACACACACACACACACACACACAACACAGCACGCAGCACGCGCACAGCACACGCACACGCCACACGCAACACACGACACACAAACACACAAACGGCGCGAAAACAATATGTTCCGCTACACTACGTGCGAGGATATAATTTATAAACATTACTACGAAGCGTTTGCCTACATTTTTCCCAAGAATCATTACTACAGTCAAACCCGCGTTAGTAAAAACTGACGGGCCAAAGAAAAATAATTGTATTAAGCGTGTTTCGTATAACCTCACTTCAACAATATACTTCGCCGCCGAATTTAACATAGAAAACATTATGAATTACAAGGTGTGTACAAGGTATTTTATATACGGTTTATCTTTAGCTATAAATAGGGGAATTTCTGTCTGTGTGTTGTGTGTCCGGCTATACGATTTCCGTACCGCTCAACGGATCTCGCTCCAAAACTTGGTAGAACATACTACACCATCATGACCGTTGCATGGGCTATTTTTTTTCTTCCACACTTTCATTTTTTTTCATTCCACTTTCAAAAACATTAAAATAGTGTGAAATTGCGCAGCCTAGCCCATGCAAGGACTGCATTCCACAGCCAGCGCCTGTGCTCTGGCGAATCCACTGCAAGGTTACGTGATGAGACTGACTGTATCCCTTAGCCTGTGGTTGCCGCGTTTGTAAGTCACAGCCAGCGAAATAAGTCAGCAGTGCGTAGGAATGAAGCAGCGAAAATTTCAGCCGAATTCGTGCACGGCCCGCCTAGAAAAGTTATGGCAGGAACAAACAGAACGACACTACTCAAATTATTATATAGATTCCATTCAGAGGAACGCGCGTACGAGCAATCTCATGCAGCAATACCTCGCAGACGGCTATGGCAATGGCAACGGCAGTGTCTCGTATGTTATTAAGAACTTTAAGTAGCGTTAAATTGTTTCACAAATAGATACAATTACTGCAAAGCCTAAACTCCTCATTCAATTACTACTATTCATAGCTACAGTCGCACACCCGTTAGTACGAAACTGACGGCCAAAGAAAAATAATCGTATTAAGCAGGTTCCTTATATTATATTAGCCTTAATTTGAAGAGAAAAACAATGGATTAGAAGGTGTGTACAAAGTGTTTTATATAGAAAAGAATATACCGGGACAAAAAATTTTATGTTAGTAACAGGATCCTTGTATTATTGTCTTCGTATCAATATTTTACTAAAAGATTACTATGAATCGGCCGGGATTTAGAGAAATCATCGTAGTCCTCATCAGCGTAACGAGCGAAATATGGCCGCCGGAGCGGCCATTTTGCGAGTAACATATAAACACAGATGGTAAACAACGTAAACAATCTCATACGTGCAGCAACAACAACAACAACAACAACAACAATAACATATAAACACAGATGGTAAACAACGTAAACAATCTCATACGGGCTGCAGCAACAACAACAATAACATATAAACACAGATGGTAAACAACGTAAACAATTTCATACGGGCTGCAGCAACAACAACAACAACAACAACAACAACAACAAACATATAACACAGATGGTAAACAACGTAAACAATCTCATACGGGCTACAGCAACAACAACAACAACAACAACAACACGTAAACACTGATTGTACACAACGTAAACACTCGATCTTCCCAACACACTGCTAACAACGATACGTACGGCAAAAAAATACACCAGCGGCAAGAATACGTTAACACTACAACGTATCTCCAACACACTGTGTTACTACTACTGCCCTACTTACTTTCAGACGCAGACCGCCCCCCACCCCCCACCCGCGGCGCCTCCCACCCCCGCCCCGCCTGGTGGCAGCGTGTATGCATCAAGTGTGACAGTGAGCATTCGCGCGTGTCACCGACACCCGCAAGTGACACGATTGGTGACAACAAACTGTGTGTGGTGTGTCGTGACACCGCCGCTGCCATCGGGCGTCGGAAGTCTGACGTTGTGACAGAAGGTGAACGAGTAATGTGAAAGTATATATATGTATGTATAATATGTATAATATGTATAATATGTATGTATGTATGTATAATACGTATGTGCCGACTTACCCCTCGTGCGTGACAGAGGAATCCTTGGGCAGACGTACGTTGTCGGAAAACAATCCCCTGAAATACGCAATTAATATAATTAACAAATTAATTATCAAAATAATTACATATAATATTTAAATCATTATTATTTATATATAATTAAATATTATTATTATATGAAAATAAGCTGTTACTAGCTCGCCCTGCTGATATTTTTAACTAAACTCGCCAATAGATGGCGCCAGTAGCTCGTCATGGAAGCGTTAGCGTAATCCAGATTAATTCTAGTCGGTCACCGCAGCCTATATTTCCTATAGACTGTCGCTGAAGTCTTTGGACCAGAATCTGAATCAGAGGGCAAGGCCAGTTCATGTAATGACCGATTCGAAGAACGAAAGAGAAACCGCTAACGCGTACTAAACATAAGAATAGCGACAGTACAGCAAAGACGTTTTCCAGGACAAGGGGAGATAAGAGGGGAGGGCAATTTTAACATAGTGGTAGAAGTGGTGGGGCGACAGGCACGGGGAAGAAATGAGAATGGGAGATGGGGAAGGTGAGAGGCATGAATAAGAAATTGGAATGGGAGAGGGGGAGAGGGGGAGAGGGGTGAGATGTGCGGACAGGGAATGATGGATGTGAAAGAGAGGGCGAGGGACAACAGGTGGGGACAATAAATTGGAATTGGAAATGGGAAAGGGTGAAAGCTGGGAACAAGAAATAGGAATGTGAGACATGGGGGGAGGGGTGAGAGGCATGGATAAGAAATAGAGGTGGATGGTAGAGCATAGGAGAGGGTATCGGAGGGTAGCGGAAGGTAGCAGAGGGTAGCGGAGGGTAGCGGACGGTAGCGGAGGGTAGCGGAACGTAGCTGAGAGTAGCGAGAGGTAGGGGATGGTAGATCAGATTGTAGCGGGTAATAGCAGATACTAACAGGTGGTAGTGGATGATAGCGGGAAGGTAGCGGGAGGTAGCGAAACGTAGTGTATGATAGCGGAATGTAGCGGGAGGTAGCGGGAGGTATCGGAGGGTAGCGGGAAGCAGCGATGGGTCACCCTATAACGCCTGCAGCAGCAGCCGATATAATAGTCTCTGGTTACTCTCTAGATTTAGGTTCGCTCTGTACAGAGGAGAATCTTTCAATAGCAGCCGAATCCGCCGTGCCCGCTGGACATTCAGTAGCAGACGGACGAGTAATGAAGAGAGCTGGTGATTGAGAGAGAGGGGAGGAGAGATAGAGGGGGAGGGGAGAGGGAAGGGGGAGAGGGGGAGAGGGGAGAGGGAGAGGGGAGAGGGGGAGAGGGGGAGAGAGAGAGGGGGAGAGGGGGAAGAGGGGAGAGGGAGAAGCAAGAGAGAGAGAGAGAGGGGATGATAGAGAGAGAGAGAGAGAGAGAGAGAGAGAGAGAGAGAGAGAGAGAGAGAGGGGGGGGATAGAGAGAGAAAAGGGGGGGAGAGAGAAAGAAGAGAAAGAGAGAGAGAGAAACACAGAAGAGAGAGAGGAGAGAGAGGGAAGGAGAAAGAGAGAGAGAACAACGAGTAATGAAAGAGTCGGGTATTGAGCAAAAACTGCGGTGCGTGTGTGCGTGCGTGCGCGTGCGTGCGTGCGTGCGTGCGCGTGTGGCGTGTGTTGCGTGCATGCGTGCGTGCGGTGCGCGTGGCGTGCGTGCGTGCGTGCCGCGTGTGTGTATGTGCGTGCGTGCGTAGCGGTGTGTGGCGTGCATGCGTGCGTGCGTGCGTTCGTGCGTGTAGGTGGTGTGTGTGTATGTGCGTGCGTGCGTGTGTGGTGCGTGCAGTGCTGTGTGTGTGTGTGGATGTGTGGTGGTGCTGCGTGCGTTGCGTGTGTGCGTGGTGCGTTCGTGCGTGTTGCGTGTGTGCGCGCGCACGTGCGTTCGCTGC